TTATCTATAGCTGTACACCTGCAACGGGGGTTAAAATTAGAAGTGGACTTGAAACCAGTACTTTGTAAACGAAGACCTTGAACCTGGGAGATTTTCAGGTTTACTCTGAACTCGCTTCCAAAATTGCAGCTTGAGACTAAGGCTAAATGTAGTCAAACCGTGTTCTTTGCAGAATGAGAAAGTTGTTGTTTATTGGGTTCAGTAGCAAAGGTTCTGCTGTACTCCTGCATGCACTGGTGTGCAGACCGAGAATGAGTTAGAAATGAAGAGATTGTGTGTATATTGTGAAAAATCCATCTCAAATCTGAGGACGAACTAGTAAGCAGGATTATTGTATTGCCTCTGAAATGGTTGCTACTGCTAATAATAATTTGGCACTTAATGCAGTATGACATGAAAAGGATTTTTCTTCCTTTTTTCACCTCTAATTATCATATGAACTTTTTAACTTTCTGCCCTGTGGAGAAAATTTGCAAGGAAAAGAAGGACTATTCTTTAAGGAGGAAAGAAAAAGAGAAGCTTCTAAGATGTTGGTAATTAATTTGAAATAGATTATTCTATTAGTGACAGCACTTCTGTCTGTGGACTGAAGTTTTATTGTTGGGTCTTTCAGTTTGACAAGTGGTTATAATGTGAACTGGTGATTCCCCTTATATACCTTTACAACATAAATGTAATGAATTTTTGTGTGGAGTCAGAACTAGTGTTTCTAGAATATAAAGAGAATGATTGCTTAATGGTACTAATTTTCAGGAATCAACTATTTTTAAAGATATTGAAAATATTAGGAATGGTACTTGTTTCAAAAATCAAAAGAAACACAGTTGTTGCTGTCACTTGAATTTGCAAGAAAGTTAACATGACCTGTAACTCCAATGACCTTGAAGCCAACTTCCCCAATCAATATTTCTTGTCCACCTCTAATTATGCATACGGATCATCAGAAAATTTATTTTCTGATAACTTATGAGAAATTGGGAAATGTGATTCTCTTAATGCAAGGAAGAAAAGTTGAAATACTGATATATTTGCTAGATGTGAATAATTCCAGAATTTCAAGGTGGAAATGCCGAAATATGAAGACTCATTTGAGCAAATGAAGCTTATAAAACATTAAGTGGACTCTTTCTTTTGCTGTAGATGGCCGGTTAAAATTCTTGTTTCTGCTTTCAGTGAAACATTTTGTTGAAACATATTTTTCCTAGAGAAAAATCGTTTTGAGGAAGAAAAAAAAAAAAAAAGAAAAGTGATTTGACTGACTTTCTACCTTAGTCAATGCTAAATTCTGGTCAGGCTTTTTAGGGCTTTGTCCAATCAGATCTTGAAAAGTCCCAAGCATGGAAGGAGACTCCGCAACGTATATTTCATGCTAAACCAAAGTGCTCTGCTGAAGTGAGAAAACATGATTCATTTCATCTTTCTATTACTACTTTGTTATCAGGGTGAATGAGGAATTTATAAACCAGAGTGGTTTTGACCTGGTAGCCCTTTCTCTACCTTATCAATAAATCAGCTTGTGGGAAAGCTGGAAACCAGACATCGTTTTCCCTCTTGAGGGAAATGCTTGCAGCCTTGGTGTCCAGGCTAAGCACTTAATTATGGTTTATCAGGAGGTTTACTGCAAACAGCAAATACCAAAATGTTAGTAAATAGTGCTCAGATTTAGGGCAGTGCAATGGCCGTGTTTGCTCTTCTCCAAGGAAGCTGCTAAAAGTCCCTCAGGGGCCTGCACAGGGTTTGGATCTCGTCAGCTCTGCACAGTTCTAAAATAAAAATTAGATGTCTCTAAGAAAATTAGTTGTACTTTTAACATGTACAATAGAAAAAAATAGTGCTGGGAGGCACTTTGGGAAGTTCTCCCACTTGTCACAAGGCAGGACAAATTATATATATATATATATATGTTTATGTGTATATATATAAAGTAACATATATTCTAGAGACAAAATATATTTTAAAGATACAGAAATGAGGGGCTAGATGTAAATGTGTTTGTTTGCCATAATACCTCACATAGTTTGAAAGCAGTTGCATATACTGCAGATTAATAGCGTTTTATTTGCTTTTTAATAGAGGCAAACCGGTCCCTGTCAGTAAGAGTCACTCAAATCCATGGTGTGTACCAGAGATGAGTTTAGCTGCTGTTACATTTTGTTGTGTATCCTATATTACCACTGTATGTGGAGGAGTAATTTTGGTGATTGAGATACCATTCTACTCGTAGCAAGTTTTGCACTGTCTGGATTCTATTATTTTCTAGCGCTCTGAGCTGAGGGAACTGAAGCATGAACAACCCAGGCCTCACAGCACCATGTCCCACGCTCACAAGTACATTTGTAACCAAAACCATGCAGAAATCTGCAAAACTGCACCATATAGATTCAGGATCCTAGGAGAGCATCCAGCTTGACCCTTCATTCTGTCCCTGAATAAGAGCATAGGTATTTCTCCCAGTTTGCTGGAAAACAGTTGTGTTTCCTTGGAAGCCATCAACAACCTTTGGAAGCCATCAGTGGTCAAAGCTGATCTATCCAAACCCCAGCAGCTATGCTGGTTACCTGCTACTCCCCTTGACTCGAGGCTGTGTTTGCAAACTACTTTTGCAAGATTCAAAGGATCCATATAAATGGATCAATCACCAGCTTCTCAAAACTAGAACCAGGAGTTTTATCCACACGGATAGTGCAACACACACCGTTATCAGGCCCTTTGGGCAACACTCATTCTGTACAGGCCATACGCAGCACAAAAGAAGTCAGTGTTCATACTCACAGGTTTAAAAAATTAGAAAGTGCAGGGAAAACAAGGGCTTAAAGGAGACAGTATAACATTTCTTAGAAAGGTGAGGTATAAGTTTCTACATCTGCGAGGTAAATGTCATCAATTTCATTATTTGTCCTAGCCCAAGAACAGAAACCTGTGGTTGTAATGCACATATATAGATTGGTGAAGCACCTTGAAGCACACAAAGAAGTTTTGGAAATTCTTATACGTGTGTGTTTGTGTGTCATGCACCTGGCCATCTGTAAACAGTAAGGTAACAACAATGCTCTCAATACTTTCCCTTTAAAAAGAAAAAAAAGAGTTGTATATGTGATGGCATTTTCAATGACAGTTTAAGAGACCTAGTACTAAACTGAAGATAACTGATTTAGACCTTGATCCTCTATTCATTCTTAAGTTCATGTAAGACATGGAGAGTTTTCCATGAGAAAGAACATTGGAGACATGAGAAGAAAAAGGTGGTAACATCTAAACTGTCTGAACTCAAAAAGTATCTCAGAGAAAATGTAGATATGCTATAAAGGTGATGCTAAAGATAAAAAGTGCTGTGCTTTTATATGTGTAGTTATTACAGCTTGAAGAAACCTCATGTACAGTTTCTGCTATTTTGTGCAGATATGAAGTAATGAGCTCTAGTCATAACAGTGCTATCATTTCTGGTAGTTTCTAAAACAGAAACCACACTGATTGCCACTACAGAGCACACAAACTATTTAAAGACAAACTGCAGATACTTGAGATACTGCAATGCTAAAGCTCTTTTTTTCCTTTTTTTTTTTAATTTAACTTTCTAAAATACAGTGCTCACCTAAGTAATGAATCTAAATAGATTCATATATTATCATCAGTATGGTATGCCATCAAGTCTTACAGCAACAGGAAAAGGAACCTGTAAATATACCTTTATATAGTGTTTTTATGGAGCAAAACAGGGCAGAATAAAATGTCTAAAAGTTATTATGCAATTTCTTTGTTTTGTAGGAAAAAAAAATGCATGAAGCATCATTTCAAGCTATCTGCTTCTTATTAGGCAAATACATAAAATAAAAATCCTGTATTATTTACTGATACATATTTTGTCCAAATCAGATTAGATTATTTCTCTATTCAATTTGAAATACTTTAAAAATACCAAGCTAAATCTCTTTCATTGTACTTTTGTCAATGACAAATGGGCTTTTGAAGGCCAAAGGAATTATACCTCAAAACCTAAGCATTTGTGTACTGTATATAATATTCAAATAAGAAATCAGTATTTCTCATTATTAGAGGACTTAAGTTCTGGAAGAAGCTTTACATAATAGCAATGAAAGCAAAATACTGAAATGCTTTTCAACTAGAACATCATCATTTTATGAAAGGGACTGTAGGATACGACTGCCTGTAACTGTAGAGGACTGGGCGTAGATGCCTCTCTCTCCTTGCTGAGTAGTTACAGCCCGGTATGCCATAAAGTGTGCTCTATAAGTAAACTTTTTATTTCCTGGTGCTCTAGGAAACTGAAGACTTTACCAGTGAAATCATAAGTCATATGTAAAACTTACACAGGATGTGTGATATGTAAGTAAATTATCCTTCCTATGTGAACCTCAGTGGATTTGAGGGGATTTCCTGAATTCTTGTGGATATGTCTTTAATTTTCATTAATTGTTTTTTAATGTCCAGTGCCTTAAACTGTAAAAGCACCTGTGAAATACAACATGTGCTCCAGCACTATTGATGCATTCACTTGGGATCAGCTGTGCAAGCTACATTTCCGTGTGTATTGCTCAACAAGGGACCTGTTACATGCATTTGATTTTTACACAGCACTGTCATCCCTCACGCATTTCAGCACTCTCTTTCTTAATTCTAATCCTCTTGTTAAGTAGTGTGTGCTATTACGTGGTCCTAGCTTTATGTTTTACATTTACATGTTAAACAAAGTACATTAAACACTGAAGTATACAAACCAGGCATTTTTTTTAATCCTTCTAGTAAGGAGAACTTTGTATTTTTTTTCCAAACAGAACACTGTTTTACTCAATATACTGAAAAGTAAAAATATTTTCAAGTGCCACACTCAAGTCTGCAAAATTCTCTGCTGCCTGTGCTTTGGTTTTTATGTGTCTGACCTCCTAAACTGTTACAAACTCTTGTTAACTTTATGCAACTTTATTTTTCTGAAACATTTGTATTTCTAGAATGCTAGCAGTGCTTTCTTTCCCTCTGTATAGGATACGACTGGAGCAGGGAAAGTTTAGGTGCATCCTGCTGACACTGGAGAGGATGGCGCCAGCTCGCGAATGTGCCTTGGAACCTCAGAAAAAACATGCCAATCAGTAAGTGCTTTCAGTGCTCCCTGTTTTATACCTCCTTCCTAAGGCCACCACAAAATAAGTTCTAGGAGTCCAAGATGATCACACCTTGCTAAATAGAGCAAACCTATGAGACAAGGGACACTTTGCTTAAGGTGTGCTTGAAACTTGTCTTATTGCAACACTAACTCAAAGCTCTAGTCCAGTGTAAAAATCTATCTTCCTTTAGCATATATAACTTGTCATGTTTTTATTAAGTGCCATTGCCAAAAGTGACTGTACAGTGTGCTGCTTTAGAATATATTTTATACAAACTATGTGATGGAAAATTAAATAGTAGTCATTTATAGTTTCCAATATTTACTTATTCTTATGTCTGGGGGAATATTTTCTGTAATGCTTATTAGGTGAATGAAAAAGCAGGTTTTTTTCAGCATTGTGATAAAGAATAAATTAACAGACTACATAGCTAGCATGGTACTTTATCAAGATATTTCTTCAGCCCTACTCTAAAAAAATATCTGAGACATTTTATGTCACTAAATCAAAATCTTCATGAAGATTTTTTCCAGAATACTGTATATTCCTTACCTGCGGGCAGTCTTTGATGTAGTGTCCCTTGTTAAAGCAGAGATGGCACAGGTAATTAGGAGGTGGCCTCTTGCTGGGTTTTCTGGCTTCTGAAGAAAGGGATAGGTCAGAAAAATGCTCTGTGAGGGAGCTTAGCCCATCCACTATGTTATTGAGAGAGCCGTAAGGAGATGCACTCTTATACAGACTGCTGCTCAGAGCCTGCAAAAGAAAGGAAAAAAGTTAAATTAAACATAGTATTGTACAGAGATTGTTCTGTAGTAGAGAACAGATAAAAATAGCAGGAACCAACTTATGAACCTTTTCATTAAGAACATAGCTGCGTATTTTGGGAAAGGAATATACAGCTCATTAGTACAGAAGCTTCCCAAAGGCAGCGTGATGGAGCTGGTCATCCCATCGCTGGAGATCACACCCCATCCATCGCTGTGGTTCAGCAGCCTTCCTCTGAGCAAAGACGTCTTTCTTCTGTTTGACCCGACCACAGTCACAGTGTGGTCAGAATGTGCAGGCAAAAAGCTGGAAGCCCAAGCCACAAAAAGGAACATTTTTGTGTCCAAAACTATTTACAAGAACAATACTGAAGTCAGGGAAAGGAAAAGAATACCAAGGAAAATGTAAATTTAATTTCCAATCTAGTTGCTGAGACAGTCAACACAGCATTCAAACAGTAACAAGAAACATCCAGATCTACATCTGTTTTGGATTTTCTGGGGGGAAACCTGCTGTGATCTAAACATTTCATGATAAATAGTAGAATTAGCCTAGTTTTTGTGCCCCACCTCTATAGGATCTTCATTCTCTCAAAGTGCAAATCAAAATCAGGAGCAGCTAATTTGCCATCCTGAAGGTTCAGAACAGCAGGAAACCCATAATCACCTACACAGCTAATTGTCTTAACTGAGATAACAAGCAGTGATTCTTTTTAATGTCTTTAGCCTCAGCAGAAAGTGTGCAGCAGGATTTTAAAAAGTAAATGGCATCTTTTTTAAACAGGGTAATGAAGTGCTGTAGAGACAGATCCAACCACATACAGTTCTTTCCACCCTCAAATAACGGGACACATTTCCCAGGAAACTGCTTCCCTGTTAGGGTCGTGTACCTCTGACAGTGAGGCTGAACTGGTGTAATTCCAGCAGCAGCAGCAGAGAGGTACTCCTCGTTTACAGGGAAGGGAGGTTAGAAGAGTTCTGGTCTGTGTCCACATGGAGAACTTGTTTCTCAGTGCTATTGAATCCAAATATTTAATTGGGATCTTTATGTAAGTTTGATAGATATACTGAAGATAGCTAGAGAAACTGATTTAGAGAGTTTGTGAAATTATTCTCATGTGGAATTATGTTTCCTTCAGAGATCTCAAATATGTAGGATATCTGTACAGCTAATGTGTTTTTGGGTAGCAATCACACCCAGAAAGTATATGACAGCCCTAGGCACAACTGCCTGGGTGATTCCTTAACTATTGCTGAATCCTATCCTGGAAGGCAGAACCTTTAAATAAACATTTAGTCTAAGTGGCCGGGCACTGCCATTAGGACAATACTCCCCCCTTACCCACACTACAGTCAAGCCCAACGTGCAGAGCTCCACAGCCCCGGCTGTTACAAAGCTGAAGCTGATGTATGGCACTAAGATCAGGTCTAAGGGTCACAAAGAGGGAGTCAAGAGCCCTACACCCTGCTCTGAACTTCCCTGCTGACCCATTGTCTGACCCAAAAAAAAGTCATTATGAGCTTTTCTGTCCCATTTGGAGACCGTTTTCTTCCTTCAGAAGATGCTGAGCAGAGTGAGTGACCTCAGCAGGGACTTGACACGTGAAGTGGTGCTGAAATTCCCTTTGTTACACTCAGCACAGTGCAAATACAGACCTGTGCTCGTTCAAGATGTTAGAGCTGCAGCCAGGAGAACCAGTCCATTTGCTTCAGGTGGCAAACCCCCACAACTTTAAAGAACGATATTGCAGGAATTTATTTTCTGGGATTTATTGGATGCTATTAAAATGAGAATTTCTTGGCACTAGATGGTCAGGAGGAAGGCAAAGTGCTATGGATGCCAAAATAGTATTAATTAAGGGCCATTAAGAAGCTCTTCTCGCCCTATGAGCTACTTTCTCTTGGATGTATTTACAATAGTACAAAATCTTGCTTTATGAGAGCCCTTTCATGAGGAGATTCTTAAAGTAATTCACGTGCATTAAACACTTCAGTAAAATGGCAAATTCCTTATTATTATTATCCTATTCTTACAGAACACGGGAAATACCAAATTCTTTACCTTTTCCAGCAATCTGCAACATTCCCCGGGGATGTAGAATATGCAACTCCCCACCACAGCCTGCGGGCCATTTCTGTCTGCAGGCCCAGCCCACGGACCAGCATGAGGGAAAAACCAAACAAATATCTGTCTATTGTCTGCTCTGGGATTTATGGTTTGCATTGGTGATGGTTTTCCTTTTTATATCCTTTACACTGAGCTATTACCTCCTTACAAGGAAGCAATTTGGCACCATGACTGGATGTTACATAATTCACTCCCTGTTTCAGGTCGATAGGGAAATTTAAGGGTTATAAAGACCACAGCTTGGCCACTTTCTCAGCAAACTTTCTTCACAAACTTCTGCTTGTTTAAAGCGTGGCAACCAAATGTCTTATCACAAGCAGGATCCCAGCAGATTACATGCTGGGATAAAACAAAATCATCGCCTTGGTTGCCAGCAGTGACTCTGTGGCCTCCGGATAACACATAGGTCTGAAAGTGGCCACCTGGATCAACTGGCAGGGCAGGTAGGAGTGCCAAAGCTGGACAGACCAAAACATCCAGTGTGTCCAGTATGAAACAATTCCGTATAATCAGCTTAAGGTCCACATTCAAGCAGGAAAGTCACAAGTATTAGATCCTAGAGGAAGAAAGTGGAAGAGAAAATAGATGTTACACATCTGCTTCAATCCTCCCTGCATAGTCAGGCAAACTGCTCCAGCAATTCCTGCCAATCTGACCTGGAAAATGGTCTTAAATCACTTGGAAACTGAGTCATCATGAAAAACACATCAATCTGGCACTTGAAAGATACTATTAAGAGCACCATTGTGAATTGTGTTACATCCTGTGGAAATCTCAAATTCTTTAGAGAGGTGAGGGGAAAAAAAAAAGCTGTTCCAAAAAGACAAATTATGTTAAAAAAAGTAGTGGTAGTAAAATTCTTCCTGGCCCCTGGAATCAACTAGCAAAAGTCCAGGAAGATGCAATGAATATGGTGAAAGTAAGTGGTGGTTAAGTCATTTTTCATCTTCCTAGGCCGTGTAGAAGACAAGGGATGAATGAACATTGCCAAGATACATAAAACAGTATTGTTTGCTGGGGCACTTGTTTGAGCAAACCTGCAATCTAACCTTTGTTGAGTTTTTGCACAGCTGTAAAGAGGAGTTTTAAAGAGTGTTTTGAATAAAAGTTCTGAATTAGCTTCACACTCAAAAAGGTTGTCTAATTAGTGAGCAGAGTGACAGGGAGAATGTTGATGGTCTTACAAAGATGACAGGAGGAAGAAAAATAGGAAAAAGGAACTGCTTTCTGACTCATTTGAAACTTCAGCTTATTGGTAAACATTTGTGAGATGCCAGGGACACTGCTCTCTGAGGAATTTCACCCAAAAGATCTTTCTCCATGGTTAACAGTGCGCAAAGCTGAGTGATTCCTTTAAAAAGCATGTGAGGTTTTCCAAGCACCACAAGCCATTCCTGCCTCCCTCTGGGGTGCCCACATCGAATGAAGTTGGCAGTGGAAGGGTTAATCCTCTCCAGGAGCAGTAAGACCTCATTACAGGTCTTCATTACAAGGCCCATAGGGCCAGCTGCAATTAATTTAGGATTTCCTTATCTTGATATACTAGCAGGATGGAGCAGTTGGCAGTAACACCTAGAGCCTGGCTTGGTGGGAAGTTTTACTCAAAATGTAAGTCGATGTTTCTTTTTTCTCTGTAAAGTGTGTATAGTTGAGCGGTAGCCAAACTGAAAGCACCTTATGTATTTTTTAAAAAGCTTCTCTCTACTTAGTAGATGTTTGAAATGTATCTGTTGGTAATGCTGGGAAGCAAGGCCTTACTTGTTCTTTGCTTGCTGAGTGTTTCTAGTTTAAGGGTTTGTAATCAGGAAGGTTACCGTGTGGTCTTCTGTGGAAGAGGCAGCTGTTGTCTTGTATAGGTTCAATGCTCTGCTTTTTGGTCAGGTAACATTTATATGAATGATTTAAGAATTCCAGGAAAATGTATGTGTGTGTGTGTGTGTGCAATGGGATAACTTTAAAAATAAATATGAGTGTGCTATTAAACATATGATAGTGCAACCAAATAATTAAATGGATGATAAGCTTTTCCTTACCAAAATCAATGGGAACAGGTATTGTTGTTGTTTTAGCAATAAAAGTGTCTTTAATAGAGAAGAAAGCACAGATACCATAACAGTGTCTCTCTTATGTCAGCTTTTAAATCTGCCTGACGTTGAGGGGCAGCATTACCTATTTCCCAGAACTCTGGTTTAAAATAGCTATTAATAGCAGTGATAACATCCTGCTTATGTGGGAAGGGTGTGTTGTTATTAAGACTTATAGGAGTTGAGAAGCAAATCTCTGGAAACGTAGAGAATTGTCTAGATAATTCCATTTCTGAATTAAGTTCTGTTAGTGTCTGCTGCACCTCTAAGGTGATGATTGGAGCTCTGCTAGTTACTTGAAGCTGGGATGAGCTGAGCTGCTCAAAGTGGTTGTTGATGGGCTGTGTGGGGGCAGCATGTGTGTCTGGTATTCATGGGCTGCTTTGGTTTATTTTTATTTTAAATGTGAACTTTTAAGATATCCCCCACTACGCGCCCCTCAAAAGGGAAGTATGTATTGGTACCCACAAACAATGTCTCGCCAATTAAAATAGAGACCCAGTTAAAATGGAAAAAGAACTTGTCGGATTTCCAATCTGTCTAGTCCAGTTTAACATGGTAATGCTGTGGATCGAGAAGGATAACAGCTGATGATGGCTGGTATCCTGCAGGATAGTTCTCAGAAACCAATTCTTTCTGCAGTTCCTGCTTTTTGGAAGCTTTGTTGAAAGAAGTTAAAGACTTCACCGAGTTAACTAATTTTCTAGTCTCAGGACTGAGCCAGAAGAACAAACTAGGTGACGCTTTTGCAGCTAAAATATCTATAACATCTGCAGA